TTAGTCAGGCTGGAATCCATACTGGAGAGCTTTTGACCTGTAACACAGACTAAAACTCTCGCTCCTTGGTTAGTCATGCAATAAAGAAACATTCCGGCATCCTAACATGATTCCCCCAATTCAAATCATGACTTAGTCCCTGTATCTCAGAGCCCTGCCATTCCAAAGTTGTGTATATATCTTGTTTTATCTCTGTCCCCTTCAGCCCTTTCACTCATGCCCAATTGTTCTCCCAGCTGCCCCATTTTTCATTTTCCCTCTTCCTCCCTGCCAAATGAAAATATTTTAATAGGAAATGGATCCCATTTATTTTTGTTGTATCAGACAGTGGTCTGAATTTTGTCATCTGATTGATTGTGCTTTTAGATTATAAGAAAAAGTTATCAATGTCAGTTAAAGAAGTGTTTTTACTGTTTTGATGTATGTTTAAAACAATGTATGTACATATGTTTGTACATTCTGTTAGTGCATGTATTCAAGTATTTATTTAGAATAGATGCCAATAAGTGAAACTGCTCATTACGTACATTTTTATTTTTAGTAAGTACTGTGAGCCAGCCCTCCCAAGTAGTTGAATCAAATTACATCCCCACTGTAACTATTCTTGACCATACCAAACTTTATCAAACATTTTAATGTCTGAAAATCTGGTAGGTAAAACCAGGTGGCTTGTTCATCTACCTGTACTCTTGGGGTTGGGCATGTTGTTATATTTAATGACACTGCCTTTTATTTTCTGGAAATTGCCTTCTTTGCCTTACTTCATTTTTTGTTTGTCTCTTAATTTGTAAGAATTATTATATATCTCTTTATCTATTATATATTTTAGAGACAAATCTTTTGTTCATTATCATTTTCTTTTAGCTTTTGTCAATGTTTTTTGTTAGTGTCATAGAGTTTTTTTGTTTTTGTTTTTTTTTTTTATAATTCACTGATCAAGCCATCTTTTCCTATACAATAGTTATAAGCACTGTGCTTTGATAATTTTGACAAAGTTTTGGGTGATGAAATGTTTTGGAATTAAGAGAGTGATGATGAGTACACAAGCTTGTGAATGTATACTGAGTTGAGCATACTGAGTTGTTCACTTTAAAATGGTTTATTTTATCTTCTGTGAAGCATACCTCAACTAAAAATTTTACAAAAACAGTAACACATTGCCCTCTTCAACACTCTTTTAAAAATTTGTTGCTTTTAATTTTCTAATGCTGGACCATCACTGTAATCATTGGCAAAATGTTAGTTGGTCATTCTATAGTATTCTTTTAATGTTATACTGCTAAATTTAGTTTGTTAATTTATTTTTACATCTTTATTTATTCTTGATGCTGACTTATACTTTTTCTTTTCGTTCACTATCCTTATCCTTGATATCTATCAAGTTCTACTAACCCTATTGTCATCGAGTGAATTCTGATTCATGGTGACCATAATTTGTTGTAGTTTCTCAGCTTTTCCTATACAGGCAGTCCTCGATTTATGATGTATTTGAGTTACAATGAACACTCATGACTGTTGTTTTTTCTTGTGCACCTTATTATTAGTAACATGTACTATATACATTGTTACAGTATATAATTTACTTGTGTTTTTATTCCAAGATGTTTCCAATCTCCAAAAACAGATAAAGACTGGATTTATAAAGATACCAATAAGGTCACAGTAATAAAATCCTTTTCAAAGGGTATTTGATTTACATCAGAACTGACTTATAATGGAGTCATTGGAACATAACCCCATCATAAATTGGGAACTACATAAACTCTGAAATAATTTGTATAAAATTGTTTAATTCAGTGATTCTTAACAGGGACTAATTTTCCTCTCATGGGATATTTCTCAATGTCTGGAGACAGTTTTGATTGGCGTAACTTGGGAGTGTGAAGGGGTGCTACTGGCCTCTTTTTGTTGTTAAGTGCCATGGAGTAGGATTCAATTCATAGCGACCCTGTATAGGGTTTCCCAGGAGCAGCTGGTGAGCTTGAATTACCGACTTTGCAGTTCAAACTGACTTTGCAGTCCAGCACATTAACCCACAGTGCCACACTCTAGTAGGTATAAAATAGGGATGGTGCTAACTACCCTACAGTGTCCAGGACTAGAGGATGCTCAAGACAAGAAAGAATTATTTGACCCATAATGACAACAGTTCTGAGACTGAGCAATTCTGACATAACTCTTAAAGGTTTTATTAGAATTAACCTGAAAAAAATGGTCTGATGTCTTATAAGGTAGGGGGAAGGACTAGAGAGAGGTGAAGGAATTAGATTTTTGTTTGCATTTCAGATTCTTCTATGTTACTGATCTATTTATATTTTTGTTTTATAACTTTATTATAACCTATTTAGAAAATTATTTTGTCCAGCTTACCTAAATTTTCAAATTTATCAGTATAAAGTGTTATATAATATTCTCCGAGGTCGTTTAATAAATTTCTTATATTGGAGTCCTGGTCTAGAGCTGTAGGATCAGCATTCAACTGCTAACCACAGGTTGGTAGTTCAAACCCACCATCTGCTCCTTGGAAACTCTAAACAGGGTCGCTATTAGTCATAAACGGCTCGACGGCACTAACAACATACAAGTGTTGTTGTTGCTGTTAAGTGCCCGTTGAGTAGGTTCAGACTCATAGCTATCCTTTATAGGATTTCCCAGCAGGCTGGCTGGTTTGAACTGCCAACCTTGAGGTTAGCAGTTCAGTGCTTATCTTACAGCACCATGCTAGAACTCCATCCAAGTATATACGTTCTTTCCTTTTTGACCTATCATCTTTGGGCAGGGCGAGTGAGCTTCTCTTGTTTTTGTTTTTATCATACTCACTGAAATTTCACTCTATTGGTACTTTCACATTTTTAGGTTTTGGTTATATTAATTAACTCAAATTTTTATTTAATTTAAATTTTCTCTTTATAAATTACCACTTCCTTTACATTTTTCATTTTGTTCTTTCATTATTTTAAGTTGAATATTTGGATAATTTCTTTTTA